AATTTTAGAGCAACAGTATGTGATTAAGATGAAAGTGTATCTCTAAGCAGGAATAAATGCAAATCAATAAACTGACGCAATGAAAGGTTTCAGTAGCCACTTCTAATATTCAGCATTGGTTGTCATGATCCATTAGGGAATCATTTGACCAATATGAGACATCTTAGTTTTTATGCTTATGTAAACATTGTTCAGAACAAATGTGAATAAAGCAGTATAGAATCATTTGTTGTTGTATTGAATATCCTGGCAGATTGCAAATATTCTTAGGCTGGAAACTTCTGGGTTTAGTAACTTTTTTCCATTTGGAAGTTTTGTCTGTATCTTTGATAGTGGGATGATGGATACTTGAACTCTCTCTTCCTCTGCTAACACAGTTTGGCAATGATCACTCAGTCAAACTCAGCAGTTTCAGCAGTTTCACACTTTAGTTTTGGGTTTGCCTATCAAGGAATTACTTTGCAGGTCTGTTGGTATTAGAAGCAATCCGCTTGGTATCAATAGTACATCTGCCATTTGATGATCAATACCTTGGTTAAAGGATTGCCTCTGAATGGACTTCTTGTGAGATCACATTAAAACAGAAAATCTATCGTTGCTCTTTCTATTTGCAATACAAATATGAATGTCACAAATTATAGCAAACCTCTGTGTCCCGTCTCCTGCCTCCAAACCTCACCAGGGAAATTGAGAATATTTCCTTTTTTTTTTTTCCTGTCTAGAGCAACTCTTACCTCATTTGCCAGGAGCTGTGTCTTGTTATCAAGAAGCAAAGAATTTAACTTCCTTGCTGATAGGGATGTTTAGAAAACAAATCACCGTTATCCATAGCTGCACTTCCAGTAAGAGCAAACAGTCCCTTTTCAGATATCAGCAGGTGGAAATCTCAGCAGAAAGATGTATGTTTGTTGCTATGATTCCTGATGACCTTTCTTGGTTTATTTCACTCTGATAGTGAATGCTTACTGGCACGTTGGTGTTTTTAACCTCCTGAACTGATCTGGGGCTTGTTGCAAAACACCATTAATTTATATTCAACTACCTAGAATTTCCTCCTTTAGCTGCACTGGCCAGGGTCCCAATTCAGGCAGTACTTAAGCCACAATTTGTGACTGTTTTACTGCTTCATGGTGAGGTATGAAGGTCAGAGTGGTGGTTATAGGACCGACAAAGCCATGGCTGAGTTGTCTGCATTCTGATGAACCACACTTTTTTTTAACTTAGTGAACTGTCTTAACATATTTTAAAATGCATATTTTGAATATGACAGGATACAGCAAGTATTTTATCCACCCTTCTCAAGAATTAAGCAAACCCAGGATCCTGAGACACATCTTTAAGGAGACAGATTCCAACTTCCATTATTTGCTTCAGATACCTACATGGTCTAACTGCACACCAGTATGACCATGCATGAGTTCTTACAAAATCTGGTTCCTAGCTTGGGCAGAAACCTACTGTTTTGTCTTAACACTATCAAGCCAGGATCTTCAGGATACACAACAGTCACAATGCGCTTTTTAAGGAAACTGTATTTGCTAAATTTATATGAGTCTTTAAAAGCCTACGAATTTGTGACATCCTTTATTGTGCACTTACTGCCATTTTAATAAGTACATGATCACCTACCACATTACTGACCTAATTTTCTGATTGCATTTTCCAGACAGGAGGTGTAATTAATTTCTCAAGAAAAATTAGCCCTTATCAGTCAACTGTTTAATGAAATGAGATTGCAAATTGTCCTTCACTACTATACCATTTAAAACTAGTCTCTCTGAAAATCTGCTGTAAAATCAAGTTAACAACCTTAAAAAAGACATGGAAATAATTCCTCATTTCATAATGAGAATACTAAAAAACACCACTAAAAATCCAAGAAGAATTAGTAATGCTGGTGTTCTTAACAAGTGACTCAGATTTTCCGTGACTATAATTTTTTATCTCCATGTTTCTGCTGTCTGACTATTGCTAACTTCAGAACAGACCAAACCCCTGCCCAACTTCTCTGCATTGGTTATTGACCTTTTGAAACTCATAATTTGCATTAATTTAATTTTTTTCTCAGTCATATAATACTTAGAATGGTACGTATGCATCAAAATATGTACAATTGTTCTATGTAAATCCCACCTAGTCTAAACCTCCTTTTGTGCCTTCATCTGGATATCAGCTTTTTCATTTGAATAGCTCATTCATTATGTATAGTTAGATCTTTGGTAGAAGTTGTTTTCTGGGGGTGACAGGGCATTAATTCCAGGGGACAAGGAAGTTCTGAAGGATTGCTGATTTTGAAGAAATGGAAGGCAGTAGCTCTAACCCTCTATGGGGATCAACACTGTAGGACTCATTGTCAGTGTCTCTGGCCTCAGAAATCTTTTTTGTCGCAAACAATTATGGGCTGAACAAGGTGGCATTTAACTGAAGGATTTTCACTGACAGCTTTATTTGACTGAGGTGCCCCAAATCTGATCCTATATTCACAATTTCCCTGTATAGTTATTTTGATTTACTACTTTTGTCTCCGAAATATAAAGGCTTTTATATCACTGCTATTTCACTAAATGGAAAGATGACGCTTACTATTGTTATGTACAAAAAGGAAAAGGTTTCCAGTGTTTTGCAGCAAGAACTGTGAATATAATAAATGTATATGATAACTATCATTGAAGACTGCATGAGAAATTTATGAGTGGATGAAAAAGGAGGAAGAGATATTGTTTTGCATTCTACCAACTTTGTTGTTGCTACTGAAATGCTTACCTGCTCATTTACAGCTAGGTTGTTTGAAGCAGGTATTTAGTGAAAAATTAGTGCAACACTTGAGTATGCTCCTGGATTTGTAGCAGGAGGCTTTGAGGATTTGATTACTGTACACTTCATTTGTAAACCAGCAACATGCTTCTCCATCCAGAAGTGTTTTGTCACATTTTCCTTCCACTCTTTGGTAACCAGTAGGTGGACTGGAATTGTCACAGGACAAGAGATGTCTTTATCTCTCTATCTCTTTCTCCCTCTATAGGTTAAAATATTGCTCTTGAATTTAAACTCATTGAATGTAAGCAGGGAATTCCGGTTCCTTCAAGTTGAAACTCATGGCAAAAAGAGTATTTATCTTCCTGATTCTTGGAGTATCCAGGAGTCAAGGGTTTTGCAACAAACACAAGCAGCACAACACATTAAGAAGTGCTGAAGTCAGTGAGCTAAGCCAAGGCACCACCTCAGTTCTTCAGTTTTTTGCAGTCTTTGAATACATAGAATGAGAAAGCCTCAGGAAACACTCCACTGTGGCTCCTGCAACTACAGCTTTTGTTCTCAGACATAAAAAGGAGCTCAGTCAAACCCAGATCAATAATGGTTGATTGCCAAACTGTTGAGAGGAAGAGCCCCTGCCCTAATGAAAATGACATTAATCCTTCCTCTCCTGTCCCGCAGCTCTCACCCAGGTTTTGACCCATGAAAAGACTGCTGCCCCCTAGGCAAGCAGTGTCTGCCCATTCAGAACCCACAGCAGAGGCAGGGATGGAGCAGTTTTGGTCACTCCTGTATTCATTAGTAATAGCAGATTAAAGGAGCTGACCATGGGTCAGTATGAAAAACTTAGTTCTGCTGGTGCCACTGCCAGTTTTCACCCCTCCAACACCTTCTGAAATCTCCATCCTACTTAGCCATAATCCTACAAACCTTCCCCGTTCCAGAGAAGTCATTGTTTAAGTTATTCTTGTGTCAGGAGCACCTAAATGTGTAGAAGGCTGAGCCCCAGACGTATCCATCCTGCTTATGCCAATGCTTTACAAGCTGCTGTCCTGCTCAGAGCACAAAATTGGGATGTGGCACTTTGTGCTCTTACAGCTCTACAGGTGCAGGAGCACTCTTCAATGCCTCTTGTCTGAAAAGCCAGATGGAAGCTTATATTTACTTTCCTAACACAATTTCTTGCCTTTTTTCTCCATCTCTGCAGCAACTGAAATGTCACTCTCCCTCCTTTTGGCAGGCTACTCCTTTACTCGGGATGCACTCTACAAGCTTGCCTTTCCCTTACTACATTTTTACAAGCACACTGATACAGCTGTCTTGAGGTTTTTCTGTTCCTCCCTTTGTCTTGATCTAGCTGATAATGCTGTTTCAGCTTCTACCACCCAGACTGCAGTCTCGAAGTATCAACTTCATTGCTTCTTTTCAAGCAAAATTTTCCCTCTTTTCAGGATCTTTGGGTGAAGAAATCTGGCTAGGGAATAAGGGCATGGAGCAAGCTGTTTGTAGTTTGAGGTCTCCATCTCCCTTTATCCCTGGGAAGGGGAACATAAAATAAACTCTTCTTCTCTGAACTTTAATAGGCAACAATGTATTTCAAGATATTTTTGTTTTACTATTGTCTTAAAAAAGAACTTAGGGGAATTTTTAGGTCCCAATCAGACCAAATTGAGTATTTTTGCTCATTGTAAGATAAAATACCAAAATCTGACAAGCATTTTGAAGAGGAAGGCCATCATATGTTGCTTTTAACTGTTTATAGAAGTGACTCTTCATTATTGTAGCCCATTATAAATTCTGTAATATTTTACAGTTTTGTTTCATAATTTGACATTGATTATATATTTTGGCTTATTTCTATAGAAAGAGTTCTTAATAAAAGTTCCCATTCAGGCCTGTTTGGTAGTACATGGTAGGACATCGATGGATGAAAGAACTTGAAAGTCATCTGTAACTTCAGGTTGTAACAGCTTGAGTGCATGATGGGAAATAACCCTTGAATTTCCAGCCTTATCGATTGTATCATTAACGCCTGGTCTGGATGTGTTCTCATCGTATTTCTCCAGTGGAGAAATGGTCCAAGGAACACTGTTAGCTCTATTTGACGGGGAGGTGCGAGGGGGCTGTATGCCCAGGGCTGTGCCCAGGGATGCGTCCAAAGGATGTGCCCAGGGCTGTGCCCAGGGCTGTACCCAGGGATGTGCCCAGGGATGTGCCCAGGGATGTACCCAGGGCTGTGCCCAGGGATGCGTCCAAAGGATGTGCCCAGGGATGTGCCCAGGGATGTACCCAGGGATGTACCCAGGGCTGTGCCCAGGGATGTGCCCAGGGATGTACCCAGCCGCATCCCTGCCAGCATCCCTGGGGCTGCCCCTCCCCGAGCTCCCTGCGCGCTGCTGAGGTGCGGAGTTGGGAAGCAGCACGTGGGAAGTGAAGAAGGGGTGAAGCTGTGGCTGAGGACAGATGTGGCTCTGGCTTGCCCCGTGAGCTGCCGCTGCTGTGGCACGGCAGCCTGGCGGGCAGGAGCTCGCCCTGCCTGGCAGGGGTGGCCCTGTCGCCCGTGGCTGTGATGTGACACGGTAGCCTGGCTCTCCTTGCCCGAGACACCTCCGCAGCCCGGCACGGCCGGCTCCGCGCTCCCGGGACAGCGGGGCGAGGTGCGAGTGCCCGGCGGGGACACGGGCGGGCAGCCCCGGCCCGGAGCGGGACCGAGTGCCGGGGGCGGCGGGCGGGGAGGGCGCACGGGCGGCTGCTGGGGAGGCGGAGGGAGAGAGGGCGGCGCCGGCGGGAGCGGGGCTCGGCGGCGGCCGGCGGAGCTCCGCGCTGCGCTTCTCTCCGGCCCCGCGGGACGTGAGCGGCGGCGGGGCCGGGACGGACACCGAGATCGGGGTAGGGAAGGAGCGGCGGCGCGGCGGGGCTGGCCGGGCCGGCGGGGACAGCGGCACTTGTGCCCGGCGAGCCGGGCTCGCCCCGCCCCCGGCGGTGGCAGCGCTTAAGGGAGAAGGAGGCGGCGGAGGGGGCGCAGCTCCTCCGGCACCAGCGGGGCTGTGCAGGGAGCTGGGCACAGGGAGCTGGGCACAGGGAGCCGTGCAGGGAAGGTGTGCAGGGAAGCTGTGCAGGGATGCTGAACAGGGATGCTGCGATGCTCCGCTCCGCTCCGCTCCGTCTGAGGAGTTCCCCGGCCGCGCTCCATTGAGCGCTCCCGGACGGCAGCGGTGCCTCGGTCCGGCGTGCCCCGTTCCCGATGTAGCTCGGTAACCGAGAGGCTTCTGCGGCAGTTTGTAATACGGGCTGTTAACGCCTGCTTCTTTTTTTTTTTTTCTCTACTTTCCCCCCTGCCTGGGAAGGTTTTGCTGTTAGGAATGTCCTTGGAGTAGAGATGGGAGATAAAGCGTAGAGTAACTTGCAGAATTGGTTTCTGAATTACGGTGCGTCTAAAAACCAAGTTTGTGCTTCAGTGAGGGTACTGGGAACTTGAAGGCTTCAGTGCTGGTTAGGTTGAAGCTTTGAAACATGAATTTGTGGGAGCAGAATTGTTTAGAAGATGCTAAGACATTGTTTTGAAAATAAATGTTTAAAAATGGAGTGTGATTATGATCTCAAAAATGCTCCAGTTTCAGTATTTCACTTTTGACTGTGGCTGGGCTGATTAAATACTGTCATTCTTGGAGTTTGTTGCAAAAACATTTGCTTAGCGTAGTTTAACCACCAGAATTGTTTGTACTGTTTATCTTGCTATATGTACATAAACATGATATATTTTATATATATTATGCTGCAGACTCTAAATTTTCTGTAGGCTATAATTGTGTAATGCGTGTATAATGCATGTATAATTGTGTAATGCATGCAGATAATTGTTTTACCCTGTGAGTGGTGAGCTTAAAATGTGATGCCATATCATATCACTCAGAAAACTCGAAAATTAGATTTGTACCACAGACTAATACTAGGGAATTTCTGCTTCAAATGCCATTTGAACAGTGGTATGCCTTTTACAGAGTTGTGTATATTTGTTTTTAATATTGCAGATGCCTTTTGATTGCAAGACTGCTGAAATGCTTTGAGGGCTGCATCTCCTTTCCTAACCATGAACAGTTCAAAATCACCAGGGCTGGCTGGATTTGGGGTCTTGAAAAACTCAACGTGCCACACGGAGAAAAAGATTTCCGTTTTCTTTTCAATAATCTTCATGACGGCGGGAATTTTGTCCAACAGTCTTGCAATAGTAATTCTCATGAAGGCATACCAGAGATTCAGACAGAAATCAAAAGCCTCCTTTTTGCTTCTTGCCAGTGGCTTGGTTGTCACAGATCTCTTCGGTCACCTCATCAATGGAGCCATCGCAGTGTTTGTGTATGCATCAGATAAAGACTGGATTCGATTTAATCAGTCCAACATTCTGTGCAGTGTTTTTGGCATCTGCATGGTTTTCTTTGGTTTGTGCCCACTCTTCCTGGGCAGTGTGATGGCTGTTGAACGGTGCATTGGAGTCACTAAGCCAATATTTCACTCTACAAAAATGACTTCTAGACATGTGAAAATGATGTTGACTATGGTATGTCTGTTTGCTGTTCTTATAGCTTTGCTGCCTATTCTTAGGTTTAGACCCTACCAAATTCAAGCATCGAGGACCTGGTGCTTCTATAAAACAGAACATGTTGAGGACTGGGAAGACAGATTTTATCTCTTACTTTTTTCTTGCCTTGGGTTCCTGGCCCTTGCTATTTCATTCCTGTGCAATGCTGTCACAGGAATTACCCTCTTAAGAGTCAAATTTAAAAGTCAACAAAGACAAGGCAGATCTCATCATTTTGAAATGATCATTCAGCTCTTGGCTATAATGTGTGTTTCTTGCATTTGCTGGAGCCCATTCCTGGTAAGAGCCTAATGTATTTGCCAATGTTTAATGCACATCACTGTATAAAAGTTATACTTTTTTGTCTCCAGGTTTTAAAGCACTTAAGTTGTGATAACAACTCCACCCACTCAGTGATGCTAATTTTATAGCATATTGCCCATAATGTGTGTACCTATGCATCCATAAAAAGCTAGTAGTTATTCTCTACTTCTGATCAATAATACACTAAGCTAAATATATAGTGATTGTGAGGACTGTATTTCCAGTGCTTTGAAGCAGACAGTGGTAGAAGAATCATGGCTAGAATCATTCAGAACAAATATTGAGCTCTTCCAAAAATTCAGTGGAATCTAGGATTGGGAAGTCTTTTTATTCTGTACAATGTAAGTAATTTTTTTTATTTATGGCAGTCTTCTTACTGTTGTTTCAACAGTTTACTGCTACTTGTGAGCTTTGTTAGGGCAGATAACAGTTAAGAACCTAAAATCCTCCCCTCCATTATCAGGGTGTTAAGGGCTTTGCTTTAGGGTTGTATTTGCAGTGGGTTGAAATCAACATAAGCAATCTGGGTTTGTAATGTGGACAGATGAGCAGCAGAGCTGCTGTGGGCAGGGGTGTGGGACTGTCCCTGCTGTGACTCCCAGAAGGTCAGTGCCAGTGCTGGTAGCACCTGCCCTGTCAGGCAGCAGGGGCAAAGGAAGTGACACGGGAAAGAATTTGATAGATCCAGTTTGTATCCATTTGTATGGCATTATAAAGCTGGTGTTAGCTTTGTCTCCTTTTGGTGTTGCAAACTTGTCTGAAGAAATTTAATTTTTTTACTAGGGCCAGAAGGTTTGAATCACAAGTCATATGGAATCTTAATTTCTTCCCTAGAAACAGGGTTCTGTAGTTTTCCAGTGATATAAATGAGGAGCAATTTTGATTTGAACTAACAAATACTGACATTTAAGTCTGAGATTTGTATCAGATCCAGCTATATTTCATCTGCTCACTGCCTATGGTAGAGGCTGAAGTTACCTGAGTTAGTTAAAAATTAGATACTGACTCTAACCTAGCTGCAGCAGTTTGGTATATCTGGCAGGTAGCATTTAATTAATCCAGTATCTCAGGCTTCAAGGAGGAAGTCAGGGTATGAATGTTTGCAATCACTGAAATGCACAAAAACTCTTTCACTTTTGTTCAACTCACAGAGAATTTTTCTAGTCTTGCTCTGCAGCATAGTTTAAATTCATGTTGGCTTCTGTCAGTGTCGTGGCTGTAGTGTGTGAAGCATGAACAAAGTTGTCAGAGCAGCAGAGTAAGTTTTGAAGGGAACTTCTTTACAGTTTCTTCAGACATCTGAAGTTTGGGGCAAGCCACAAAATGGTTTTCAAAAAAAGCATCTCATATGATGACCTTACTTTCCATGAAAGAGCAGCATTATTATCCTTTGGTGACATTTATTTTCATTGAAAATAATTGTTAAAAGCAGGGATTAATTTGGTTTTGAAAAATCCTTGGATGTCAGAAGAGCTGTAAGTTTTTTTTGGTTCAAAAGTGATACTTCACTTATTCAACACATCAAGGAACACTAAATTGCAACTGCTATGGTTGATTTTATTATGCCATTCAATTTTAATTATGATATATATTACATATATAAAATTATAATTTTAGAAATTGTGGCAATCTAATGAAATCACAGCGCTGCTTTCATTAAAATATGTAACTTTATCTGAGTTGTAGTTGAAGATGAATTATTGGTCTAGCAGGAATTTTTTTTCAGACCCTTTTCGGAGCTGGTGTTTGCATCAGTTTATGATGCAGGCCAGTGAACGACTTCTTGCTTAATTTTGGACTTGATGTTTTTCAGGGCTGTTGCAGAGGGGAGTTGGTACCCAAGGAATTCTGGTTCATTGGGTGGCAAACCTACTGATGCTTTCTGTGCCTGCTGGGCTTGTGGTGCTTTGCCTCTGGATCTCTTTTGAACTGAGATGAGCCAAACTTATGCCAAAATCAGCCTGGCATTATGGAATATAGTTCTGCAATGTGGATAAATTTAGGTTAGAAAGGAAGAGTTTAAAAAAAAGAAGAAAAAATAGGTGTAGTGTGGGATTAGATTCTTGAAACAAAGTTTCAAGGAAGTGAACAATTCGTGTTTTAGCCAGAGTTTTAGTGGGAAATGCGAGGGGACAGGGTCTTTTGTGAGTATTACCTTTCTTAGCTGTTAGGATCATAGAGTTTATATCAGTTAATTTGCTGATTTATTTACCCATCCCTTGTTTTGCTAGCAACAGAATACAAACAGAATTGCAAGTGTGGTGTTAATTTAGCGAGATTTTTTGGCCTGCAGTTGAATAAAGCTTTGTCAGGAATGTACTGCTCAAGTGCTACATTAAAGTGATCCAGGGTTTATCAGATTGAATGCTTTATGACTAATTGCTGATTCAGACCTACTTGTCTGATACATCTGAAAGGTCTCAGGGCTTTGATTTTGTGAAAAGAATGGTTTACATTGTATAATATAATCAGCAAATACCAAAATAAGTATTTCTTGACATAAATATGGGCAGATGTTCATAGGTGAAATTATCTGGAAAAGCATGTAAACACATGCTTGTTCTGTGATCATTTCCTTTTTATTTTTTTTTCTTAAGCTAAGTCTAAAAGTCAGAATTTGAAGTCTAGACTTTGAATTGTGAATTCTACCTATGTTCTCTGTCCCAAAGAGTATACAGAACAAAATGTTTCATGAGAGTCAATTGCCTCAAAGTAAACCAAAGTTACTAGAAACCAAATAAACTTCTGGAAGAGAAAGTGGAGGAAGGAAATCTGTTTTGTACCACATGTGGTTTGCAGATACAGGAGTTTGGATTCATTGGTGTTATTCTCCATCTGATGGGGGGTGGGGTGTGTGTGTGTGTGTTTAATTTATTTATTTCTCTTCTGTTTTCAATCCAGTCTGGTATGTCCATTGACATGTGTATGGCTACCATAATCAAGTCTGTCCAATGCTGTAATCCATCTGCAGATTTACTTCATTATTAGATTTTAAATTAATTTTGGTTTTTTCCAAGTGGAGTCAATATTCAGACATTGTCACTGTCTTGTGATAAAATAATTTTCAGATGTCACTAGAGTCACAAGACCCTGGATTGTCCTTTGCAGTGTCTGGTGTGGAACTGATCTTGACTTTTGCATCTGCTCAGTGATAATGAAGTTGTTTTGATGCCTATTTATAGATGTGTGTAAATGTATATGTAGCTAACACTTAATATTATAAATAGTAATATATAGTATTGCAATCAGTCACCACCTCTGTCTTAAAATTCCTGAAGATTTGGATGGAGGGTTTTTCGAATGCAGAGCCCATGGCATGGAGCTCTCCCTGTGGCTCTTGGACAGGGATTTCTTC